CTATTTGGGTTTTTTTTGTTTTCACATATTTTATTAGTTTTTGGAGCTTAACAATGCTTTCTTCTTGTTATTGTTCTCTAGAACTTTTTCTTCTATTTGTTGTTGTATTATATACTTTTTTCTTTGATATATGTTTACTTGTTGCTAAAATGATTGCTTCTTCTATTATGTTTCATATGTTGTTTATTTTCTCTGTTCTTCTTTTTTCATCTTGCTTCTTTTTGTAAATGTTTATTAACACTTCTTTCTTTTTTAGTCAGTTTTGTAATTCCTGTACATGATTTTTTCAATCTTTTAATTTTGCTTGATCATACAAGTATATTGTTTTTGATTGTTTTTTCCTTTTAACCTTTGCCTTGCTTTTTCCTACTACTAAATGCTTTATTCATATCTGCTATTACTATTTTGTGATCACTTTCTGTAATTTCTTCTACTTCTTCGATTTTCACTTTTTGGAACTTTGAGACCAATCCTTTTAAAATCCATATATAATTGATTTTTGTTGCTGCTTCTCTATTTGACCATGTATATTGTTGACTTATTGTGTTCATATCTCTATATGTGTTTCTAAAGTCTTGATTTTCCATCTAATGAAAAATTGGTAGTTTTTTGTAGTTTATTGTTTGTGGGTGTTGCCTATCTAGTATGTTGTTTACTTTATGATTAAAGTCACCCATTACAATAATTTGTGTTTTCTTTTCCTCTTTGTGACTGTTTCTACAATTTTTTGCTGAATGTTTTTCTCTGCTATTTTATCAGTTGATAGTATATAGATACAATTACTACTAACTCTAATTGTTTAAAGTATAGTGTAATCTTTATCATATATTCATTTATTTTCTTAATAACACCTATGTGCTTTTTCCATTGTTCATCAATCATAATTCCAATACCTGATTCTTTCTCCTTGTCTTCTGCTGAATTTGTCCAAAACCTAATATATCTTTTGTTTACTGTATGTTTTAAAAATTTTTCTTTCCTTTCTGTAAGGTTTGCTTCAGTAATTCCCAATATTGTGATTTCTTCTTTTTCTGCCCAATCAAGCAAGTTCTCTAACTTCCAACCTTTAGTTTTCATTCTATTAACATTGTAACATGTTATTTTGATTTCTTTTCTTCCTTCTTTCTATTTTTCTTTTAACTCTTTTCATATTGTTGTTTTGTTCTTTGTTCTTCCTTTCCTATTTCTACTATCCTTTTCTTTTAAACTAGAAGTCATTTCTTTTTTTCCTTTTTCAAAAACTCTTCTTTTACCTTGCAGAAAGTCTTTAATCTCCTCATTTAAGTTCATTAATTCAACTGGTGCACCCTTAGGAGTGATTAGCTAGAGCTGTCTGGCTTTGTTGAGTCTCTAATTTTTCTAATCTTTTTAATATTTTTTGAAGAAGGTTATGCATTTGTGGTTGTGCCTCTTCACTTTCCATTTGGTTTCTTTCGAGATTATTGTAGTGTTTGTTATTTTTCTTTCATTTTTCATTATTATTCATGTTTTTATGAGTTTCTACATCTGAACCTCACTAGTATCATCCTCATCGATATATTTTTCTTCTTTGCTTTTGTTTATATATTTTTTATTTTTTCTCTTATGCCTTTACCAAAAAAGTAAGTGGTTGTTGAACTGTATTGATTTCGTTTGTGCTGCTTCCATCTTCTCTGCTGATGCAAATGTAATTGTAGCTGATCTTTTTTGGTTACTGTTTCTATTATGTGGTATATATACTGATTTTACACTTTTTTTCTTCAAACATCATAATAGCAATGCTTCTGATACATTTTCTGAAAGCTCCACTAATCGAGTTATAAATTGATTTTGTATATTATACTGATTATAGTCTTCTTCTCCTATCATTACTCTTGCAAGTTTGTTCATTCTTATTGGTAATGACTATGGAATTCATCCTTCTTCTATTTCTTTTGCTTTAATTACTGCTAGTGCTTTGTATTTGGACCTTTTGATGTATTTTATATGCACTTTTTTAATACCTTTACACATGTGATCTATTTCTTTTGTGTTGATATTGGCTGGTAGATTCCATATTATTAGATATGACTTTGCTTTTAGCTCATCTTCTGTTATATGACTGTTTTTGTTGTTTTCTTCTTTTCTTTGTTCAATATTATTTTTGAGTTCTTCTACCTTCTTTTCTTTGCTTTTTAGTATTTGCAGCTTCTGTTTCTTTTCTTTGTTTTGTGGCTCCTTTGAGATAATTTTAAGCCATTCATCATCTTTTTTTTTAATCCTCTTCATTACTACATCTTTGCTAAATTCACAGTTAACATTCACTTCTACCCAACTATTATCTTTTTTAAAGAGTTTTTGAATTGATTTAATATGATGATTTTCTTGAAAAATCCATTGTGTATATTTAATTCTTTCTTCTTTGTTTTCACCTAGTACTATATATGTTAGCATATTTGCCTTAAAGGATTTATTCCTATTACATATATGGTTTCTAGGTGACTACTGACTTTGCTCTATTATATCTGTTAGTTCAAATGTTTCTTATTTTTCTTCTTCTGCTTTTAGTTCTGCTATTCTTTTATCTATATTTTTGATGTTTTTTTTAAGATTGTGTATTCTGTTGTCTATTGACTCTTTTTGGTCTTTTTTGTTTTCTTTCTTTCAATTACCACATTTATGTTTTGTTGTTTCTGCTGGTAGATTTTCTTTAGTTATATTCTTGGAGTCTTTAAGGTCTTGTTAATTTATAGTTAAAATGCTTAGTTTTTCTATTTGTTTTATAACTCCTTTTAAATCTTAACTTATTTCTTTCTTTTATTTTTATATTCTTGATATTTTTCTTCTGAATGTATGAACATTTCTATTTCTTTGGCCTTTTTTACCTCTTTTTTTCTTCTGATTTTGTTTCTTTTTTTGTTGTTTCTTTCTCATTTGTATTTATTTGATAGCCTAATGACCTAGAAATTATATCTATTGATGCTAGTTTCTTTGTCCATTCTTCTATAGTGTTATGTGAAACTGTATATACTTCTGCTATTTTGAGTATCTCTAGTATTTGGTTGTAAAGAAATAAATTATTTGCCATAATGTTTTTTGGATTATAAATTGCCAAGTCTCTTGCTATATATTCTAGATTATCAGGATTTCTTATAGATTTTGCCAAGACTGTATCTAGTATTTTACTATCTATATATCTATTATTTCTATCACTAAAACTCTTGATATGTTGAATTAGGTTTGTACTGTATGGTAATCCTAATCTAGTTTGTACTTCCATTTCTAGACTATTTTGTTGTTTATCTATTTGTTTGTTCTACATGTCATATTTACCTGTTATTTTCTAATAAAACTATTTGTTGTTATTATTTGTTGTTTAGTATAATATGATGTATTGTTTTGTTTGTATTGATGGCTGGTCATGTGCTTTAATTCTGTTTTTCAGGGTCTAGTGCCATTTTTCAATTTTTCAAAAACTTTTTCTAAAAAATCATAAAACTAACAAAAGCTTTTGTTTAAGAAGACTTTACTTATACTAATGTTAAAGTAAAATTGTTGTATTTGGTGTACTGAGTCTTTTTTCTTAGAGCCTAAAATGAAGTTTATTGAGCTGTTTTTGTGTTTTTCCTCTATGTTTGTATTGGCTTTGTTTAGAAATTAAGGATCAGTAGAGAGAGTTTTTGATTATTATTGATTTATTATATATATATTATATAACTATATATAAATTAATATATTTGTAGTTATAAGCTATTATAATTATAATTAAAACAACTATTTTTTATTTATTAGAGTTAAAGTTAGATAAAATAGTTTGTAAATAAAAAGAAGTGCTTTATGATAAATTTAACAAATTTTTTAATAAAATAATTATATTAATTAAGTTATATTAAATCTGATTTTTAAAATTAATTAATTTTATAAAATGTGAATGCAGTAATCATAGCTACAAATATATTACTTTAATATATATAATATAATTTAAATGACTATTTTTTATTTTTATTATAAGCAGTATATATTTAAATAGCTAATTTGTTTAGTATCGATAAAAACAAATTGTACAACTTTTTATTTTATTTCCCAATAATTTTTAACAAATAGAATAATATAATTTTCTAATATTTAAACTTTTAATCAAATATTAGAAACTTATATTTATTAAAAAAAAATCAATCACAGTTTAATAAATAAAAATAAATATTAAAATATTTAACTACAATTAAAAATACAAATAATTTATAATACCTAAATTTAAATATTGAATAATTTATAATTTTAAGATTCTTTATGCTAATGCAACTAAAAAATTTATACAATTAAATCAATTAAAAAATAATCCTAAAGATGCAACTTTTTTTTGTTAAAAAACTTGGAATTCATTTGTGCTACACATTAAATAACAGAGCATGATCAAGACAAATGTAAAAAAGGCTTTTTTTAAAATTGATAAAAATTATTTAATAGATTTGCGTAATTTTTTAGTCAACCAAATTTTTTTATATGCTTTATTTTGCTTTTTTTTACTGAATTTATTATAATTGCACTTTATTGAAAGTTTACTTTTTTTATTTTAGTAGTATAATGTTATGTTTTTAAAATTCTTACAAATTGAGAAACGATCTAAGCCATTTCAAAATTTATGAATGACCTAGTCAATCTGGAATTAACCTAAATCATGAAATGACTCAAAACTATAATATACATTATGACATAATACATGTTATAAGTTTCTATATTTAACAACAAAATAGACTTATCGCTTTTAATAAATTAAGAAAAAAAAATCCAATCCGACTCTTGATGGAAATAATATTTTAATGAAGGAAAATTATCTTTTCAATAACTCTATATTTGCATTAGTGCAAAGTGTTGAAATAGGATTTTTCTTGATTATTTTTATAAGACGCACCTAAGTGCTTGTACTACATAAAATGATAATCGTGATAATAATTATCAGTCCAATTGTAAGTTATGAAAAGGTTTGTTCTCCGATTTATTGCTGACATGTAATTTTGACATGCTGAGCGCGACCATACGCATCATATGTAATTATGCGCATTTTGCCCCTCTCTAATCGTACCAGGCGTTGCAATGTAATTTTCTTCATTATTTTTATAATGCATAGTACCAGGTGTTGCAATATAATCTTCTTCATTATTTTTATAATGCATAGTACCAGGAGTTGCAATATAATCTTCTTGATTATTTTTTTTAGAACTATTATAATATAAAAATCCGGCAAAAGACAAAATTGCTATTACACCTACAAGAACACCAATTCCAATAAATAAACCATTATTCGGTGAATTATTATCAGCAGAAGAGCCTTTATATGATGATGGAAATGTTGGGATATTAACTGATGGTATGCTAAATGTCGGTGATGCGTAAGTAGATAATAATGACCATTTATAATTTAATGGATCTGATATATCCAATTTATAAATGCTTTTACTAGATTGCTTAAGAACGTCTCTTTCTGTCACGTTTGTACCTTTAAAATAAAAAAAAAACAATTAATATGTTACTGTTTGAATATACATATATATATATATGCAAATACAAAAATTATAATTACCAAATGCTGTAATCATATAATTTTTAATTATGATTGATGTATGCCCAGTAAGTGGCCCAATAGGATTTATCTCAGTCGGCACTGTCCATTCATAATTAGAAAAGTTCAAGACTACTATAGATGGGCTAGCTGCTAGCTTATTGGTAGTCCCACCATACATAATAATACGTCCATCTGAGGCTAAAATCAATAATAAAAATTAGCACATATAACATTTATTATTATTATTATTATTATTATTATTATTATTAAATTTGCCAAAACTTACTCGAGACAATTGTATGACCACTACGTATACCTGGGACTTTACCTGTAGTGTTCTATAGATTTAAGCATAAAATTGATTACTTAATTGTTTTAATATAATTCATTACTAATATATTAAAAGATTTTACAATAAGTTGCCATGAATCAGTTAAGATATTATATGATAATATGCTGGTCATTAATGTTATTTGAGCTCCAGAAGGTTGACCAAAATATAAAAGCTGGCCGTTCACCAAAGTTTGAGGAGGACCATATAAATCTGAACCAACATAAGTTGAATATAACTGTGGAATTAATGAACTATTTGTCCACACCAAATTGATTGTATCAAAAATATCTATAACATTAGAAATAGATTGAATAGAGTATGATTTTCCTGTACTTCCATCAGAGGTCCATGCGCGGAATGACTCAAAGTATTTACTAGGTTTTCCAGTAAAACTTATATTCATATTCCAATTATTTAATGTGGTGTCATATGTGTCGAGAAATATTCCAGTAGAAGTCCCATAAGTGGCATCAGTTGCAAAGTAAAATTTATCGTTTGCTTTTCCACCTAAGAATGGCGTTTGAGTGAGACTGTAATTCGTATTATTAAATTGAATCCATTGAGATGAATCAACAATGGTATTTCCATCTAATGATACTCCTGTTAAATCTATAGAAAAAGATTGAAATCCAACATAATATAATTTGTTATTACTACTAATATAAAATGATTTGAAGTCAGTGCCACCACTAAAATAGCTCAAAGAGCATGCAAATTTAATAAGACTAAAAATTACTAAAGATATAAAGTAGAAAAAGAATAAGTAAGACATTTTTTTCAAAAAGTTATTTCAACATAACGAGAGAAACAAAATTTATTCAGACGCGAAAATATTAGATAATCGGAATTGACGATCATTAATAATTTTAGTAATTGTTATTGAACTAAATACCAAATTAATTAAACGACAAATTATATTTATTTATTTATTTTCTGATCTTTTCCAGATTTTTATTAGCCTATTATTCATAAATTATTTCATAACATATTTGGCAATTGTGCGACATTGTCGCGCTATAAAACCAGGGACAAGATGTACTTTGTCCAACACATTATCACTGATTTATCCAACAAACTATGTAGCTTGTTTCAGCACGTTCATAGTACATACATTATCAACTCTGCTAATGTATTCCTTTATTAACAAAAAGAAAAGCATCAAAAAACGATTTTATGGTTTGTTGATTTAGCGCCAAGTCGTCGAATTCAGAATACATTTATGCAGGAAAAAAATTTGTTCACTATTTAAATGAATTAGTTACTATAATTAAGTACTATTATCATAGACTATTATCAAATTTGAAAGCATATATTAAACTCATATACAGAGGCTTATAACGAGTTGCGATACAGAAATTATTAGTATCTGAAAGTAAACCTTTTAGTTTGTTTTATGCATTTGGTCGTTTATTTTAATTAATAATCCATAATTATCTTTGTCTTAATTTTCTTTCAAAAATCGCTCCAAGCACAAAAGCTTGCTTGCGGAAATATTACGGACAAGACTTCCGAAAAAAATATCTATTATTGAAATTTAATAATTGCTGAATTTCCGTGAAACCTGAAAATATAATTGCCAGTATAGGAAAATTTCATTTTTCCGAATCATGTGCATGATTTTGCATCAATGCACATAAATAGTTTCATGTACATGATACTGTATTATAAAAAAAAAAAAGGCAACTTTATAATTTTTCTTTAGTCAAAATAATAACACAATTAAATTTGACTGCTTTTATAATTTAATTTTCTATATAATTCTTGTTAATAAATCTCTTGAAACGGAGATTCATCTGTTGCACTAACATCAGGTTCGTATAACCAACGATAGGTTTAGAGTCAAAAGAGACACTAATTATTGCCATAACCTCAATAACTTCATTACTTTGAGGCAGAGTCATCGGATTTTGTAGCATCTAAAATAGCGCAAAATAACTAGCAACAATTATTGTCATGTGCTAAGATGCAAAATTTGCTAAACATATGATTATTGCCTTTGTTCTAATTATATGAATATTTTAGATGATGACCGGAGAACTCATTTCAGAAGAAAAATATCATTACATTAAATTAATAATTAATAAATATAAGTTTATAATAAGCTATTTTGCTAAATTCGCTAATTTCACTAGCTATTTTTGCTAACCATTTTTGCTATCAATGTTCGGGGTCCCTACTTTGAGATCACTGGATGAATATTAAGCGAAATTTATCAGTAATTTTGGGACAGGTTTTTATAGTGTCAGGTTTGCCCAACCGGATAGAGAGGATTTATATAATATCATGCGATATAGAGTGGCATTTTAAGTTCGGATTTAACGATAATGAATTTGATTTGGATTTAAAAATCAATCCGGATAGAGGTGTTAACTCTAGCCAACAGGAACCGTCAATGTTACATGATTGATCCCTCACTCCCATACAAAAAAATTATTTTACAATACCAGATCATTCCGCTGGTCATATTATGATTATAATCCCACATCATTTTATTATAATAAAAATGATGTGTGATTATTATCATATCATGTACTAACAGAATGATCTGGTATTGTAAAATGTTTTTTTTATATGTTGTACACCGAGTGAAGGATCAGTAGTGTAACGTCGACGGTTCCTCCTGCTCTCTAGACCCGATAGGTTTTTATTAGACCTGAAAAGCTTAGGTCGGAGATGGTCAGAGAAAATCCTAAGCCTAACGAAAGGTGCATGTCAAGGATTGGGCATGGATCAAAACATGTAAAGTCTTATGTATAAAAGAGCTGCCTTTTTGCTCTTTCAATAAAGTTTCAGATTCGATGTCTTAGATATAAAACGAATCATAATAAGAATCAGATTCTTAATTGTTATACGATTTTACATTTATTGATTGTTTCATTATTCCTATTCGTAAAATTCGTAACGACCATACTACATTTTATGCTCTCGCTTATTGTTCATTGTTACACAATTTTGATATTATTAAGTGTATCTTACGCCATATATTACCTTAATTGGTATAAAGTTAATTATTGGTAACCTGATTTGATCTAATTAATTGATGACCGGTAGATATAATTAAGTACCTGATCTTTAATTAATACGTAATCTCACGTGCCCAAGTGATCGTTATAATTACTAATGCAAAGAATATATAAGTTAACTATTGGAGTCAAATCTGTGCCGATAGTGTAAAAGCTCCCCAAACAATAGTAACATTAGTCATAATGATCTGCACCAATTAAATTCAAGTGCAATTCTTTAGATTTTGTTTATTAAATGTGTTTATTAGTGATGTTACTCAAACTATTAGGGACGTCCCAAACTACGTGATGAATAATATCACATTAAGCCTTTACTAGTTATTGCCGAAACAGTGTGATACTACTCATCGTATCATTGGACGTTGTAAAAGGCAATTTTTCATGTAATGCAAAAATTTACTACAACACTACACCAATACTAACTAAAACTATTCTAACCACCTAATAATGGTAACGTTATGATTGAGGCGTGAAATGATTTGGTCAAAGTAACTATGGTCAATTAGAGTCCTAGGATACGTCACAGGTACCGTTAATACAGAACTTATTTATCGAAGGGAATTAGTAGTTCAACACTTTTCAACATTGACTCCAACTGAGCTCTTTTTATTGAGAAGCTAGGAGACATTATATTTATAGCTTCTACACTATTAATGAGTACTTTATGAATAAATTCACTAAGTGTACTAAAGACAATAAGTTTAATAAATTGAATAAGTTCGATAAGTTGAACTTAATACACCATACTATCTAATTTTACCCAGATTCGACCTGAACCACCTCAGCATCGATTTGCCATTTCACAATGATCCAAATAGTTGGGTAACATTGCTAGTATGTACGTCTCTTTTTGAGTACCTACTTTGTCGGCTTATTACTTTCTTTAATTTGGAAATGTAAATAGAGTATGTAGGGAAATTACTACAGTAATTAGGGTGCCAATAGAAACTAAGCAAATTGTTTATAGTGGGTTTTTTAAAATTTTAAATTAAAATATCCTCAACAGCTATTTAACCAAACTTAGTATAACTATATAGAATTAAAATAAAAAAAATTTATCAAGTTTGGTTAAATAATTGTTGAGATATTTTACTTAAAGTTTAAAAAGAATTTACTTAGAAACAATTTCTAGAATATGTTGGGTTAACAAAACTTATTTAACTTAAACCTGAATTCTTTTTGATAGTTTGATTAGGAAAACGTTACTATTATTCTCCTTTATGTTAAAATATAGTTTAAGTAAGCTATATGAAAAACCTTTTTGTTTAAAGAATTTCTTTTATAAACTGTATTGTTACTATCGGAATTTGAGAGAGCTCAGTAAATTTAGATCGGCGATAGTGAGCGAAAGGAATATCAGATGAACAATAAGGCTTAAATCAATTTAACTTTAATAGTCCAGGGATGTTGAAGATGTATTCATAATTATAGTTGGTGGTAGAATTACTGAATTACGGCATTCTACCATATGGTAGAATTAATTACGACATCGTAATTATGTGACGGAGCCAAAATTCGGAAAATCGACCCCAATTCAGGGTCGGTATATATCAGAACGTTTCGGTATTACTTAATACGACCTGTCTCCGATGAATTCGGATCCAGGCTTTTGGTCGATACGCTTAAATTTGGTTCCGTATTTATAATTACGGCAAAAAATACGGCACATGCCGTAATTCGATAATTTTCAAAATTAATTCTACCACCAACTATAATCACAACTATGTCGCGACATCCTTTAACCGAGAAATGCATGAGGTGTATACCAGACGATCACATTAATGTGTGATATGGAATGTGTGAGGGATGGTTTCCGTTCAACTTTTTTGATGTTGTGAGCGGTGTGAGCTGTAGAACTGTAATCCCGGAAGGAGGTAATCGAAGTGGCGCAGAACGGGTATGCCGATCCTTTACC